TGCGGCTACGGCTGCGGCTACGGTCGCGGTGTGCAACCAGTTATACACCTCCATGGAACCGCGAATATATCCAGCACGCGCCGCCATGCACATGTATGAACGTGTGTAATCTTTGTGGTGCACTTGAAACTATTTCCTCCTCGTGGCCAGGTCGTCGTGGACCGGATGTTCCGCCGCATCCTCGTCTGCACCGGAGTGCCTGTCTTCACGGGCATGGCGCTGTTCCCGCTCTTCTATTGGCTGCGGGTTAGTACCGGCTGTACGACGTGCGTGTTTCCGTAACTGCTTAAATCTCCTGTCGGCTTTTTCGCGAGCGGTACGACCTGGCTGCTGCGCGGCCTAGGCCCTCGGGCCACATGCATGGCAGGGAGGGAGAGAGGGAGGGGGGCAAAGGGGGGGGAGGTCGCGGACGTAAGTTGTAAGTCCACAGCTGCCCACCTGGGTACAGAGAAGTCCTGGAATACGAGGAGTCGCTCCATGTGACAATGTGAAGCGGTCGGACGATGGAACGTTGACACGCTGGGCGTAGCAGAGCCCCGGAGCTATAACGACTACACTGCCGTACACCGTACGGGATGCTATCCAGAGCCAAGTCGTTTGAACTTCTTATACAACGCCTGTAGATCCGTATACTCCAGGGGCGGGCCCCGAGAGCCATCCGGGGGAGGCGCTCTTCTCAGCGACATCTCCGATGATGCGATATCCTCTATCCTCTGCCATCCTCCGCCATCCGCTGCTATCCTCAATGGGTGGTGACGGTGCGGCGATACCGCCGCCAAACAGTCCCGTTCAGGACGGAGATACCCCGCCTAGCAGGCGACCGCAGGGAGAAGAGATTCCCCGAGGCTGCTTTTGGCGGCGGACTGCTAACCGACAATGGCGGAGCGGTTGACGCCCTCCGTGACTGCCCTTCCAAAGTAATGACTACCTCTCCCTTGTAGAGGCCCCCTGCTTCCGTTTCTACCTCACCCTCGCGCTCTCCTATATGCCACCTCCTCCTATGCCTCCCTCCGCGCCCTGTGGTGCTCTGCACATGTGTGTGTGTGTGTGTGTCCTAATGTGTGATTGTGGGTTGGCAACTGTCCTGCACCCGGGCTCGATGTGCTTCGCTGGTGGCAGGTGGTCCAGGACATCGATTACCCGCTCTGGATAGTCTACATCGCACAGGTACGGCGGTGCAGTACGTACGGCACATACAACCGGCGGGTGGGCCCATCTGCCTGCGGGAGGGGCGACATGCGATGTTGTACGGAGTGTTTGGATCCGACTCAGGCTCAGTTATCCGTACCGCTCGAACACCGGTCCGGTATTATGTGTGCGTATTTGTGTGTACATATTGCATTGTGTTTTACGTTTTGAAGAAGGTATAACGGCCCCGGTGGTGTGTGTGAAGGGCCTTATATCGTTGGTTGTGTCCAATAGGTCGTACAGGATGGGGGGGGTTGCCGGAATAGGTCCTCACTGCTTGGACGAGCTTCAGGCTCCGGTCTGGATAGCGTGCGGGTGCTGGTGCTGTTGGAGAAGTGCTTAGCGGAGGGACCTAGCGGTGGGGGGTGGGGGTGGGGGTGGGAATGGTGGTAATGCGGGGAAGTGGTGTGGCGGAGCAACAAAGGTGAGCTCTGGGGGACGAGGAGGAGGAGGAGTTGGAGGAGGAGTAGGAGGAGGACGGGTGTGGGGACAATGCACCACGGTTGTTTACCGTGACGCTACGTCTGCAGCCGGCTTTGTCCCGAATGACTTGACTAAGCATATTGGTCCATAGCTGCACGAATCCCCCACCGCATCTGCTCTTGTGCGCCTGCCACCTCTCCATGCTGCCGCTCCTTTTTCCACCGGCCGATGCCCCACCAGGAGGCGGGCTGCGTCCTCTGGTGCTCCCGGCCCTGAGGCCCTGAGGCACTTCTCCTTCCCTACGGGCCCTGTTTAGCTCTGTCGAATTGAGGGTGCATTCCGTGACCTGATTTCCTTCCCTCTCCCACCGCCGCGGCGGCTCTGCCGGCCTCCTGCGGTCCCACATTCCCCCACATCCCCACATTCCCCCACACCCTCCACACCCCGTCTTGACAGGTCCTTACCTTTGGCGGGGGTCTGTTGGGTATCACGTACGGCGCTCTGTCGGCCTCCTGGGACCCCAGTAGGGAGGGCAGCGCGCTGGGGTGGACGGAGCTGCAGGTGGGTGCAGGGGGGGGGGAGAGGGGGGAGAGGGGTGGCAACTCCAACGAACCCCACCCAGACTGTGATTTGCGAAGAACGCGATGCTGGGATTGCACTGACCTGACGTGTGGGGGAATATGAAGAGGGAGATAAGCAGCTAGCGGGCGGGGGGCCCCGGGTGGGCTGTGCTTGACGTGGTAGGACTGTTCCGACCCGGATTGGGCTACGGTGAGAAGGGGAGGGGCGGGACACGGACACGGACACGGACGCTCGGCGGGGCAAAGTGGGGCTAGCTCTGCCGCGAGCGTCAGTCGCGGCGCTTTGGTAGCCATGGTGGCTTAGCTCCGAGTCCCATCCATGCGCGAGGTGTGGCCATGGAGGGGCTGCAAGGTGCAGTAGCGCGCCGGGGGAAGCGCTTCTCCCTTTCCCGAAGAGCACCTCGCAAGGCTTCTTATCCGGCTATAGAGTTAGGGAACCCATTGCCGGTGGTGTTAAGCCGCGGCCAACGCCGACCCAAATCGCGAACCTTCCACGGGTGAACCGGGGGGCGGGGAGACGGGTCCAGCGCGGGCGCGCGAGGGGGGGGGAAGCCGTGCCGGGAGTTTCCCTCCGCGGGGCCTCTTCCCTAACCCTCCCTTGCCTATGTATGTATGTATGTACACGCCCCACCCCGCAGGCCAACTTGGCGATTTTGCTGAACCGCAACAAGAACTAATGAGGCTGTGTGTGTGAGAGAGATAGAGATAGCGAGAGGGAGAGGGAGAGGGGAGAACTCCCCCGCTTGGTGGAGCCAGGGAGTGTCTCCGGTGGGAGAGGCGATCTAATAGCTGGTGCGGCTGAAGTCGTGGGTGACTGAGGGCTTTGTGAGAGTGTTTTGGGGCACCGAAGTACGCTGTGTGATTCCGTTTCGTTTCGTTTCGTTATGTTTGTATGATCGGTTTTGATCAAGATTGCGCCCGGGCGGGGCCCCCAGGTGGGCTTTTGAAAAGGACTGGACGTGGTGCCGGGCGGTGATTGATGATATGGTGGTTGATGATATGGTGGTCGCAATGGCCCTGAGAAATGCAGGGTTGGGCGGACGGAGTAAGGGGCTAGTCGGCGTCAGGTTACTGTTTGGCTGGGCTGGTGGTGACAGGCTGTGTGGCTTGGCAGGGCCCGGCTGGAACCCGGTGGCCCACCCCGCGTGCTCTGGGCGCTGAGGAGATCGGAGCCATGCATTGAGGCACCGGGCCGTCCTTGGTGATGTGTCTGTGAAGAATGGATGAATGGAGGAGGCGGAGGAGGATTTGAGCTGCCTTAGTCAGTCTGGCCTGGGAGGTGAGGTGTAGCCGCGCCAGGTTAACAGCAGAGCCTTTTGGAGGGGAGGGCTCTGTGGCGGCAGCAGTAATGTTCGCTGTCACGCCAGGGAGCTTTGCCGGATCGAGGTGTAACGAATGCGGAAATTCGGATCAAGTTTTCAGAGGCGGGACGCAGCCTAGAGAGGATGGGGCTGGGGGCTCGGTTGCGAGTGGGGGAAATCCCTGGCTCGGGAGTACATCGCCAGCAGCGGCGGGGGACAGGGTAACGCATGAGGGCTACACGGCGGGAGCTGAGCTTCGGATTGCAAATGTCTTGGGACAGGTGTCAGAGCTCTATGTATATGAAATCAGAATGTTCATCAGCATGGTGAGACGAGCATTATGAGGAGGACAACGAAGCTACCACCGTGGTACGGCAAGCCATCTCTACTCAGTTTTGTAGCTCTCAAATCCTATTGCTATTGCTGGTGGTTATTGGATTTTGCTCCACCATAAGCAAAAATACATAGAGCCTCAAAATTTTGCTCATACTGGCCATCCTGTTGACTGGCATTTGAACCTGCCGCGATGCTGCAGCATACTGGAAGGCATACGCCTTCCAATAGGCATAGTGCTTTTGGATCTGGATCAGCACCACGGGTGTCGCGTATTCGGACCGTCGTTCGTGGCCATGCCAGCCAGGGTCAGTGATCAATAAAAATGCCCCTTCGATGTTAGCTTATATCATGCAATTATTGATGCTCGTATGCTCGGATGGAGAATCGCTAGAAGTTTTTATGTGCAAGCAGCCAATTGGTGCCTCAAACCCCGCCGCGCGTAGCAGGCCAGCACCAACTCGAGGCGTCAGAGGAGCAGATGGTCAATCGCCGTGAGGTGCTGGCATCAAAGTTGCTCTTGGTCGCGGGTGCGCTGATGCCTGCTCCGGCGATGGCCGACGTGGAGGCAGCAACCGTGTCCGCTGGCAAGGTAAAGCAAAATCCTCAACTACCGCAGCGTCCCGACATGTCTGGATTGCGGCGGTGCACGAGTCGGGGTCGGGGTACTTGGACGGCTTCATCACATGGAGGGTTTGCGAAGGGAATCGTGCGGTATCCGTGTTCTTGGATATTTCCCCCCAGTTTACATCTCTTCCATATGCTCTCGTAGTCGCTGTGGTCTCGCGCCTGTGTGTTTCAACGTTGCACGTCTTTTTATACGACGAGGACACTCCACCCCCGCGAGTGCTTGTGATGCTGCACCTATGGGGGTAAAGGTCCTCTCCAGCCGTTACCCCCCTACCTAATAAAAGTGCGGCCGCATGGTGGTTACGTTTAATAACCCCCGCACGGTCACATCAGTGTATCCTCCGTCCATGTCCATGTCCGTCTCCGCTCCTGCGTCTCCCCAACCTCACCGGCCGGAGGTGGATCTGTGTTTGTGTGCGTGTGTGTGTGTGTGTTGTGAGAGAATCACTGTGTATTCGCACCCAGAGAACCCCACCCTTGCGTGCATATGTATGTATGTACGTGAACGTGTATGTATGTCCATCAACACCTGGAAAGAGTGTACTTAATCCTGAATCCTGAAGTGGTTGTCCGCAGTTGGCTGCAACTGATTTGTTTAGTCGGTTACGCCAGGGTAATGCAGCTGTCTAACTTCACTGCACGGCGGCATCCGCTTACTGTCCGGCCTGAACGTGTCCGCCCACCCACCCACGTACCACCCTGCAGATGAAGGAGCTGTCTGATAACATCCTGGCGTACAAGTTCGAGTACCCGGTCGCCACCGTGTCGGGTGAGCTACAGGGGGGGGGGAAAGACACGGATCTGGGGCTCAGGGACCGAGGCGCTGAGGGGGGAAAGTGCGGCAGGTGGGAGATATGGTAGGTGATAGGTGGACAAGGATGAGCGTAAGTGAACAAGGGGGGAATCCTGGTGGGCTGAAAGGGGTCTGATGGACATGCTGGGGGCTGGGCGGCAGTGTGAGACCCGCTGCGGACGGTGGAGGCATGGGAACATGTGTGTGTGCCCCGAGGGGAGGAAGGGGCTGTAGAGGGGTTTACATGCTGCGGGTGGTGAGAAATAAGGTGGAGGTGAGGCTGGGACGTGAAGGCGGTGTTAGCGGTGCTGTGTGTGTGTATGGGGGGGGGTAGTGCGGTTGTGTGTGTATGGGGGGGGTAGTGCGGTTGTGTGTGTGTATGGGGGGGTAGTGCGGTTGTGTGTGTGTATGGGGGGGGTAGTGCGGTTGTGTGTGTGTCTCTTGGTGGTAATCACTGGCCATTGCACATGTGCCATGTCGGGTCTGCACACCCGCCTGTCTGCTTGGGGCCCCGGGCCCTCCTCCCGCCTTGCCTCCGCGCGCTCCGACTGGCTCCCCCCGTGCCCCTTCCCACCTCTCCTCTCCCAACCTCTCGTTCTTCCCCCTCTGGCTCCCCCCCCAGGCAAGCCCCTGTCCATGCTGCTGTCCCGGACCCCCGAGAAGTACAGCAGTGCGGCCCCGCTGACCGCGGATGCCCGTCAGAGGATTGTCAGTGAGGTGGGTGGCGGGCGGAGGAGGGGGAGGGGTGAGTGCTTGCTGAGGAGGGCGGATGTGCGGTAGGTATGGGTGGGTAGGTGTGGGGGTTGGAGAGCGTGTAAGGGGGAAGTGTACGTGTGTCTGTCTATCTGTCTGTCTGGTGGAGCGAGTCACCACGATACGGGGACCGGATACGGGTAAAACCCCCCCGCGCACTGACCGACCCCTTCCGCCAACATATTGAAGACTTATGGTAGACTTATCGTAGACTTATGGTACTTGGGTCCTCAGCCCCTCCCCTCCCCGCCCTTCCCCACTCCTCCCGCACGTAGTTGGCTCCGGAACCAGTTGTTGCCTTCTCGATCCCCATTCACGTGTCGTGGGCTTCTCCAATTGTACCGTACACTCGCTCCCCTCAACATTTCCCTTCGCCCGTACAGGTGTTTGATTTCCGTACTTTCGTGACCGCCTCTATGAACGTGGGGCCAGCGTCGGGTGTGCTCAAGGTACGCTTTTGTACGGCAGGTATACATGTATTGCGTAGCATGTACGGCGTACTACGGCACTTGCGCCCTTTGGTAACGCTGCGGCCGCAGCCGATGGGTCATTGTGAGACTAGGTTGAGCGGCGTGGAGGAGGGGAAGTGGGACCTGGTGTGTGTGTGGGGGGGGGGAAGTGGGGCCCCGGGTGCGCCGCGATGGAAGCCGTACGGGTTAGTACAACAGGCAGACCGCGCCGGAGGGCTGAACGAGATGAAGGGAAAATAAACTGCCTGATGGCGGTTAGGTGGTTGGTCGGTTGGTTGTTGTGTTGCTTTCTTGGTGACCTGCTTTACCACTAGCGTTATGGGCCTGCAGCTTCTGCAGCAGCGTCACCAATTGCAGCAGCGTCACCAATTGCGGCAGCGGTAAGCAGCAGCGGACGAGGCGGCGGCTTCCCCTACCGCCCCGGGGGCATGGAAGGTCCTCGGCCTCTGTGGTCTCTACCCTCCTCGCCTGACGATGTTATTCCACATGTATGTATGTCAGCGCGTACGTACATGTGCCCGCGGGGGCCCCCTGTTGTGTGTTCTCCCCCGGCACAGGGTCGTAACCCGGCGGAGTGGAAGCCCCGGGAGGTGGCGCTGACGGTGCTGGTAGACCGGTGAGTGGGGCCGGATCGGGTTTGGAATGTGGGGGGAAGGTGGATTGGGGTGGGGGCCTGGGCTTGGGTGGGGTGGGATGGGGCGGTGGGGGGAGGTGCAATTACGGGATGGAAATTGAGCGGCAGAAAGGGGGGAAAGGACGCGCAGCTTGGTGCATGTATGTATTCATGTATGTTATTTGAGCCGCCGCTGCTTGTATGTGCACGTGTGGTGGCAAACGGTTTGGGCGAGACGAGTGAGGGGAGTAAACGCAGAGTCCATGCCCCATGCGACAAAGGGATTCCAGGGGGGATCGGGAAAATCGCCTGCCCAGACCTTCGCCCCTTATTCCTCTCCCCTCACGATCTCCTCCGGGAAACCCCACCGCCCCTCCCTCCCCCCCTCTGTGCACTGCTCAGCTCCACTGCCCGCACGACGGCGGGTCAGAGAGTGGCGCTTAACGATGTGCAGGAGGCCCACTTGGAAACCCGGGATGGACTGCAGTACTGGGTGTACGAACATATCAGCCAGGTGGGAATTCTGAGTGGGAGGGAGGAGGAGTGAGGGGAAAGACGAACCACGAGCGAGTGAAGCTGATGCCAAGGAACGGCTGCTGGAGTGAGGGGACGGGGCGGCCTGGCAGGGCTGTGTGCTTATGCGCGCAAAAAAACCCCACGTCCTCAAGTATGAATCCCGTTACCTGAAGTCCTCCCCACCCCCGACCAGCAGCCCTCTGAACCCTCCACCGTCCCCTCCACCGTCCCCTCCATTACCCTCCATTACCCTCCACTCTCCACCCACCACCCTGATGCAGTTAGTGGAGAGTCGTAAGTCCCACCTAGGGCGAGGCCTCACAAAGATACATTTGCTCGTGTATCCTGGTCACGTGGTCGGCCGTGTCCTCTGGGAGCATCTGGGAGCTGTCTATCATCTCAACTTCCATTCCTCATCTTCATCCCCCTTTCCCCCTCCCCCCTTCTACCCCTCCCCCCCAGGGCTCCCCCACCATCACCACCCGCACCCGGGAGTCCTACCGGCACTCCCTGGCGGTCACCTCGTGGCGGCCAGCTATGGACGGAACCCCCTACCTGTACACACTCAACCTCAGGTCGGGCGTGGGTCGGTCCTAGTGGGGGGAAACATGAAGTCATGAAGGGGGGGAGAGGAGGGCGGCGAAAGTGGCTCGGAACACCTGGCTGTCGTCGCTGTCCCAACCCGGTTTCGTTCCGTCTGTCCGGTCTCCCCTCTCACTATTTTCCTCTCCTTTCCTTTTTCCGTTCCATTTACCTCTGGACCCTGCTTGTTATGATCCCTACCCCACCCCCTCTTGCTTGCCCTTTCCTCCCTTACCACCGCCATCACATCCGCCTTCCCTGGCGACGCCGTTGTTTTCCTCTCCCACCCACACCCATCCCTATGCACGTCTGATTCCTCCCTTTTCTACCACCCTTCCCCCCTTTTCCCTCAGCTGCCCGGAGGACCTGTGGCCGGATCTGGAGCCGCTGTTCCGCCGCTCCGCGGAGAGCTTCACCCTTCTGCCCACAACCCGGGACTACATCCCCCCGGATAAGGACCCCTGGCTGTTCTTCTAAACGGTGCAGCGGCGGAATGGGGGGGGGGGTAGAGCGCTAGCGCTCTCTGCCCTGTAAGCCCTGAGTCCTCAGGAAGATCGGAAAGGGGGAGGAAATATATCGGACGCGTGGGTCGGACCCGTGGGTATGGGGTGCGGCCTTCGGGGTTATGTGTGTTGTGGGGATGGCTTCATGGAAGGATGCGGAGGTGACGTGTGTTGAGGCGCGGAGGTGGGGCCCGCCTCGTGGATGAAGGTGTGGGTGGGTTGGTGATCTCCAGGATATGATGCGTCAGACAGTCGAAGCAAGGGGCAGCGGTGACAGATGGGGAGGGCCGCGGGAGGAAGAGGCGGAGAACGACCGGAGGTGACGCGCGTGTGTTTGTGTATGTATCTGTGTGTATGTATCTGTGTTTTCTGGTGGGGGAGCCCCTTGATCTGCCCTTTGCGACGAGGGCTCCTTCAGAGCGACCTCTGGGTGGCATGGCGGGTGTGGGCTGGGGTAGAGGGCGGAAGGAAAGGAGCGCGCGCGCGTGTATTCGGGAATTTGTTGTAAAGAGGTTGAATTTTTAGGAGGGCGACCACAATATATCTTCTTGCGCAAGTCTTGCAGTTCAGTCAGGCTACACATCACGCAGCACATGTCACACAGGGACGGTGCAGTGGAAGCAGGCTCTTCTATTATACCGCTGTGCATTTGACAACGTTACGTTAAGCGGTGCCTAGTTGTGCGATAGGTTGCGATAATCAGCTAGCTACAGTAGGAGCAAGGTCCTGGAGTTTCTGGAGATATACGAAACTGGATTTCCGCCACCAAGGTCCAAAGCGGCTTGTTTGCCAACGTTGTGGATGCTCGCAATAATCCAACAGCTGGTCTGGCTTTCCAGGGTGTAAGCTTACGCCGTGGACCAGCATCCAGGAAACTGCTGGATTTACGAAAGACAGGCAGGCAATAAGTATTATCTTGTTTGCTGCGACCAAGAGCCGTCTTTGCTGCTGTAGTAAAACTACATTTGTCTTAGAAGCGGGTAAGGACCCGAAGCGGGTTGCCACGGCGAACTGCTCTGGCTGTAGGATTTGACGTATAAAAGCGGCTTTAGTCTGGCGTAGTTTTCCATCCCCTTCTTTCCATGGCCTGTCCGCACGCTATTACCTTGCAATCTACAACATAAACCAAGTCAACCTAGCCAATTCATAATTACCACCGGAAGTCCGCGCAAACTTGGAGGCCGAGCCCGCCAGCAGCAACATCAGCGACCCGCCGGGTCTGCTACCTTCACCGCAGCAGCGCGAAAGCGCGCATCGACAATCCGCTTCCAGTAGTTAAGTTGGGTCCATATCTTGGGATGGCGTTAGAATCCTAGGCATTGGTTTGGAGAGTAGCGATGCGCGCGATATTGGTGCACGAGCTAGCCGGCACCTTTCTGTGCATCACGCTTGCGCTTCCGCGCGCTCGCTTTTCGTAAACGTTAATGGAGCTGGAATGACTACCGATAACTGCGTTATTACTTTTGCATCAAACTGTGCGGTGTTTCCAGCTTTGCGCGGTTAGCCTTTTATGTTTTTTAAATGGTGCTTGGCTGCACACTGCGCTCATCGTCCAAGTATCCAGCAGGAGCCGCTGCCTTCAATCCACCTTTAAATTCCTGTTTGGGGGTTTTCGTTCAAGCAAGCTCGCTTTATTCAAAAGCCATATAACATTTAAAATTTGGCGCTGGCCACATTGGTCGGACTCTCACCCCATTTCAGCTCCTGCCGGGAGCATCCAAACTCCCATCCAAACTCCACCTTACCCCACTCTTCCGCCTCCGACGCCGTACCTTACCAGGCAGATCTACCGGGGCCAGCCAGCTATGCAGCGTGAAGACGAACGCCGCGGCGATGGCCGCGGGGAAGGTGGCGGCGGCGGCCTATACAACAGCGCGCGCGCCGGCAGCGGGTTGCCAAGTCATCATCCTCACCCCACGGCTGCTACTACTACTACTGCTACTGCCGCTACAGCCGTTGACACACACCCCTCCGAGGTGCTCGGAGGTTTGCATGGCGCCGGTGGCGAGTACGAGGTACTAGGACCCACCGATGCCGGCGCCGCGTTGGGCTCCCTGGCGGGCTCCCTGATAGGTGGGTAGCTGGCTGCGGGGCGAGTACGACGTAGTTTGTAGTACGGCAGGTAGATGGTAAAACGTCGGCAGTGTTGCTGGCGCCGGCGGGGTTTCGGTCCAATGGCTGGCGTCCTTGGCTTGTGACAATACGCAGTGAAGCATCTGCAGCAGCTGGCCTCGCGAAAAAGGCCTCTCCAGGTGCTGGTGGAGCGCTTAGCGCGTAATTGTAGATGTTATGTGTGCCGTACGGAGTACCAGCTACTACAGCATCGTACAGCTGTACGGAAAGCGATGGTATGTACTACCTCTTGCAACGACTGGGTGAAGTGTGAGATGTCGAGAGTGCCGTTCTTTAACGAAACGACACGTAACAGACGGCCCGTGCACTAGCACCACGCGACAACACGCTTCTGACGATGTGTGAAGTGTGAACCCCGAAGTTTCTGCGGGGAACCGTAAAACATGCGTCCAGCGGACACGCTCAGGCCGTCCTGTGTGGCGTGTTTAATCGGACTGCCCATGGACTGTGCGCCGATCCCCAGCTGTCCTTTGCCCCACTCCCCCACTCGGCCCGCTCGCTGAGGCGCCCAGGCTCGGTCGGTGCGGGCGTAGTGGGGGCGTCTCTGGGGGCGTCCGCCGCCGCAGTGACGGGGGCTGCGGGGATGGGGGCCGCGCTGGGGGCTGTTCTGGGACACAGCTTCGGAGGAGGAGCAGGAGGAGGCGCAGGAAGGGATGGTGCCGCTGCAGGACGCGGCCTCTCCCGGCGGCTTCTGGGTGGCGGCGGGCGCGACGGCGGCGGTGGCGGCTATGACGGCGGTGATGTACCGCTGCTGGGCGAGGAGGTGGGTGAGGTGCATGCGAGGTGACGTGATGCGGCGGCCGGCGGGGGATGCCGGCGGTCCTAGGGGTTGAGGGCCTCAGGGGCGCAAGGCAAGGAACGTGAAGCGGGGTAAGGCCGGATAACGCACTTGCGTGATACATTTAGTAATTAGGTATGTAGTGGACGTGTCGGTGTGGGGGTGGGGGTGGGGGTGGGGGTGGAGTGGGGCCAGTACCCACCCATGTCACATCCTGTAGCGGGGGGAGGGTGCTGCGACCACCAGCAGCAGCAGTTAACACAGACCTCCCGCGACACCCGAGAGTTCCAGGCACATTGGTACACCCGCACATTGGTACACACATTCACACGCTGCACGCCGCTCTTGCGAGCATGTGGGTCTGTGCGCCGCCTGACATCTGCCCCGCGACGCCTTCCCCCTGCCTTTTTAACTCCTTTCCTCTTCTCTCTCTTCGTAACTACGGTTTTGTGTACTGGTTACTGTTACGGCTTATGTGGCGATCCACCTACCTGCTCACCTCGCATTCTCCTTAGGACGAGGCGATCGAACGAGACAGCAGAGCGGCCGAGGTAGCGGAGGCGGAGGTGGCGGAGGCAGTACAGCAACGGCAACGGCAGCAGGGCCAGCAGGCGGTACGGCAAGGCACCGACAGGTTTGAGGAGGTGGGAGATGCGGCTCCGGAGCTCATCGGGCTGCAGCCGCTGTGCGAAATGGGCGTCAATGCGGGGATGTATCTGGGACATGGGCACACCGTGGCTGGTGGGCCGGTCGAGTGATGGCACGGAGAGGCGGAGACCCCAAGTGATGCACCTTCCGGTGAACAGCAGGTCGAATGACTGCACCTGTTTGCGCACAGCGAGGTTGTTGCGAAGGCCGGAGGGTTCCGTTGTTTATGAGGGGAAGGCCGGGGCCCATGAAGGGGGGGACACAACGGACAGCTCCTTGCGTTTTTACTGCTAAGACTTTGTAAATTGCCTACTGGGGGGGGGCATCCCAAGCATGCGTGTACAGCGTCCAGGTGGATGGATGCAGCTTATTGGCAGCTCTTATTGGCAGCTCTTATTGGCAGCTCTTATTGGCAGCTCTTATTGGCAGCTCTTATCGGAAAGGCTGTATGAAGAGTTATAGGAGTGACGGCTTCAAAGGTTCTAGAGAGGTGGAAGAGGAGTCGGAGGGGACGGAGGCACCGCATGCCGAGGCCCATGCAAGGTGGGTAGATGGATAGATGAGTGGAAGTAATAAAAAATTGGACGTAAAAAATGGTCTTAGATTTGATTGAACGACGTAATCGGGACCGCACGTAGGATGACGTGTAGTTTTCCCGACTGACCCGGCGGGGGCCTAGAAGGGCCTTATGGATCTAAAACACATGTGGCTGTTGTGCGAGTTGCTCGCTGTTGTTTGTTCTTGTGGGGAAAGAAGCCCGAACTGCAGAAGGGAGAACCCGGCGCTCCGAAACTGGCATATTGGGCATGGAGCCGCTTTTTTGAGTATCGCTCTGGCTGTAACAGATGCCCTTTCTCCCGGACCTGAATAATGCTTCAAACTTTAAAGCACCATCATGTATAGGCATCGTCGTGCGAATCGTCTGTTGGTCGGCAGTCAAGGCGACCCACCAGGAAACTGAGTAGGCGGATGTCTGGCGACGGTTGCCGGGGTCGCCACCCCATCTGCGTGTACGATGTGTGAAACAGGGGGGGTATATCTTCACCCGTGGCAGCTACCCTGCGAAACCCTGCCTTCCCCGGTATTTCGGGGCACCCTCATCCAGTCACCCTAGTCAACTTCTCAGTGGATCGCTCAGGTTCCGCACCCACCACCGGCATCCAACGGAATCTGCCGGGTCGACAGCGGCCTAACTCCATTCCTGGTCGGCTCGCAGGTGTATAAGCTACACACCCTAACCGCTGCCCGCACGGTCTACATTCTACATGGCGATGTAGGCAAGGTAAGGCAAGACAAGCATTAGGAATTGGATCAGACACGAAGGCACAGACGCGACACCCTCTCTTTACTACGTGTGTAGCCCGTTTTAAATCCATAAGGCCCTTCTAGGCCCCCGCCGGGTCAGTCGGGAAAACTACACGTCCTCCTACGTGCGGTCCCGATTACGTCGTTCAATCAAATTTAAAATCGAATCCATGCGTTTCGCCCACCGCTCGTTCACCTGGGGATTTGTTTACATATCGTGCTCCACCTTGCTGCCGAAAGCCTTTAAAGGGAGAGGAAATGTACCCATGCTTAGACGCAGCCCAGTGGCCTTGAAAGTGCAAAAACGCCCATAAACGGAAAAGTCACTTCCTATGGGTGTAATAGCTGGTGCATAGTACGGCACGCATATCAACCGCAAATACGCGGGAAGCGCTTGATCAGCATCGCAGGAGGCCTTTTCAGCGGCCAGCCACCACAATGGCCAGCAGGGGATTTCGATCGCAGGGCCGTAGCTTTATTTCCAGGTTGAGGCACAGCGGTGTAGGGAGAGTATCTCAGACGACCACCTATTTCGGTAAGGTTTAAAAAGACCCCCCCTGGCTGGTTCGTGGCCCTGTGCAACGTTTAAATGTGATCGCGGGGCGGTTGAGGACGAAATGCATGTCTTTGTGGAATTTTCGGCACAAGTACACAAGTACACGGCTTAGTACGAACGTGACCTCGCGTTTCAAGGGCGCAACATGCTCACGATTATGACCGAGGTCCCACCCCTAGCGCTAGCCAGGTTCCTCTCGGAAGTCTGGGAGACCGGGCACGTTGCTCTAAGGCGCTTCGTGCTCAAGCGGATGAGGGAGGACGATGAGGTCCACCACGTAACCGCACTAAAAACGATTTACCGTCCATGGCCCCCCCGGGTTTTACGGACACTCCGCACTTGTAACTTTAAATGAGATGGCTGACCTCCAACCACATGTGCCGGTTGACGGTTTCGGGACACTGCCAACACGGATAGGGCCCGCAGGCGGAGGTATACCTGCGAAAATAAATTGCTTGGTGCCAATCCGTGCTCGCCGGGGCCCATGACACATCGGGGGTCCCAGGGGGGAGTAACGTTCTTTTTCGAATTTCAGCAAAATGCCGAGTAAGCAGGAGGGTAGGATCCGGGCTGGAATCGGAGAAGAGCTCTGTCGCAGAATTAGCCTGGATTTTATTCTTGACAAAAGAATTGGTCCGTCGGGGTCTGAATTGTTCTGGCGGGCTCGCCGGAGGTATTCAAATTGCGCTGTGGAGCCCCGGAATCGGGCTGTACTGGGCCTGAATTGGCCTGTCCGGGTGTAGAATTAGGGAAGCACAGGAATTGTGCGACCGGGGCAGTCCAAAGAATTGCTCTCCCAGACCTTGTGTCCTACCCTCTAAGTGAGCACAGGTGGCACAGGTAAGCAATAAGCAACGTTGTTTAAGGAACGTTGGCGAACGCCCATGGGACTCGCAGCGCTCCAAACGCCAGTGTTGTGTGATTGCTTGGTTTAAGGAGATCTCTGGGCTGAGCTTCAAAGCAGTACCAGAAGAGATGTCGCCGAAACCCTCTATGAATGTCCTATTTGGGAACTGCATGAAAAGCCGCAAATGCTGTTTTCTCAAGTTCGTGCAGGAATTAATATAGTAACGATATTATTTTTCTATCTTCTGCATTCCATTTCGTTCGTCCCGCAGCAGCCGTCCACATGCCCACCAAGCTATAGCGAGACGCGCAGCACCTGCTTTGCACTTTCTGATCTATTTGTGAAAGATATTCCACGGATAACTCGTTTCTTGTGCATGTGTTCCTACAGCGCTTCATAAGTCTGACGGGCCCCTGGGCCCCTGCTGCATGCCCTTTTATGCTGCAATGTGCACAAGGACATTTGCAGAGAAGCAGAGATTCAATTTGCCGCTAGTTTACTGTTTTTTTAACAGCAATGGGCAATGACATTGACAATAGTTATGGACCTCGTAAGGCCCAGGCGAGCCAGGACGCTGACGGACCAAGAACCGGGAGAGGCAATATAAGATTGTTAGGGGATGAAAACTGATGGACATGCTGAAAATCTAAGAAGCACGTATTACAGGAATAAAAGCAACGGGCTAATGTCCCGCACCTGAGTCGCCTTACCAGAAGTTGTTTGGCCGTTGCACATAAATAAATCTATTTATGTGCAATGAGATTTAGAGGCTTTTGCATACTGTTAAATTGGTTCTGGCTGTTGACATTTAAGTTTTTCTTGTCGCACTGAAAATGTCCTATTAGGACATAACATTTCAATGTTGGAGCCGTGAGCAACCTTGCATCCATCTGCTAGACCCGAGCAGCTGTGTCATATATAGTGCAGCCTAGCCACATTAAAATAACATGAAAAATGGGCTGCTGTTTCTGTTAGCAGTTGTGGTCACCATCGTGGAAGGTATGAATTATGTCGTCAACAGCAGTAATGGATTAGGCTAACTGAGGCTAATTTAGGTAGTCCTCCACAGACCAAATGAAATGATTATTGGTTCATTTCTTCACACAAGCGCATGTTTGTTGAGGAGGCTCTGCTGCAAAGCATGCATGCGACTGTGAAGCGCGACAGAAGCGTGTAACAATCAAACTTTCACGGATGCACATGGACATGGTTAAATCTTACACTCTACCTACCTGCGCCAGGCGATCGGCTGTTGAATATCCGCGTGTCCGTAGATTCGCGTGTCAGGCCGACTATTGCTAGATGTCTCTACTGCACGCACGAGTTACCATAGCCCACCACACGCACAAACACTCTAAATGCGTCTGAACTGCATTTACTTATACTGTGTGACCTACATGGCCCCGCTCTGCCTCCAGTTACGTCCCTGGTCGCAGCCGCCGCGCCACCTGCTGCCCTGCCTGCTCCAGGAGTGCTGCATGGCAGCAGTCTGGACCCGACGTCGCCAGGCGTACCTGGCGTCACCGTTGCGTCAAATGCCGTTAGGCAGGATGTTACCGGGCAGTTGCTGTTCCTTACTTTGGATCAGCCGCTTAGCCAGTGGTTGATCCTCGACAGCGAGGGGGGCCTAATTTCTTTGGGGTCCGAGTTCCAGCCCCCGGAGATGGACCCCTATGGGCAACCAGTGTCACCGGGCTCAGTAGTGCGACTTGTAAGTACGTGATATTGTATACGTGGTATTCGGAAAAGTAGTACAGATGCTGCCTGAGGCCTGAGGCCGAACGCTTGATTGTTACTGTAGATTCAAAAGTGTTGGGGCCACATGAAAACTAGGCGGCATGCACACGGGCGTTTCGATCCGGTGCAGTGGAAATAGGCAAGTAGGTAAAATGAGTCGATCTCGATCATCTGAACTAACAGTGTCGCAAGCCAAACAGTCCTTGATATCGCAGCAGGACCGCTTTTACAATACCCGCTTGCCTCGTAGGGTGTCGGCTCTCCTAGCCCCCATAGGGACCGCCTTTTTCCTCGCCTAACGATACTCATTCGCACAATTGTCACGACCATTACCCCAACACGTTCTACGGTGGCAGGACTGTATCTTTGACGAGGCCACGCGAGAATGCATCCCCGACGCCTTCTCCACCTTCATCGTGCTCATGACCACGCCAGCCGAGTCACTCCTCAACACCACCACCACATCCCAGCGCCTGCTGGTCATCATCCTGGACTACCCGGATTGCGGGCTCCCCGCCAGCCTCACCGAGGCCGACGTCCGTACATTGTACCTGGGCCCGGGCCACGACGGCAACGGAGGTCTGGCACAAAAGTATAGGGATTGCTCGTATGGCAAGTTCACGCTCAACATCACGGCCTTCAGGGCAGTCCGTGTCCCGCACCTCTGCTCGGTGATGGTTTCCAGCTCCTGTGCGGCCTGGGCGATATCCTTCCTGGCGGAAGCCGCCACGAGAGCACTCATAGGCCCTACGGACTTTGCGTCATTCACGCACTTCACATACATACTGCCTCCGGGGCTACGGGAGAGGTGCAACCAACCCCCTCTAAGCACTGCGTGGGAGGGACTGGCTCTTCTGCCCGGACGGAAGACCTGGCTGCAGACCTCAGCCTACGGTGTGTTTAGATGGGCAACGGTCATGCAAGAAGGTCTACATAACTACGGTAAGCAGGGTTGCGCTGCATTGCGTGTGGACGACGTGCGTGAGTGATGTCAAGTGATGTCGGTGTTTATCTGACGGTATATGTACGTGTTGATCTGCAGCAGCTGCATGCAGCGTCAGGTTTTTTGCTATCCGTTTTACTGTTTCAATGTTCGCTGACTGACACGTACAGCGGTCTTACCACCTTGCTTTACATGTATCTGTTGCCGCCTTGTTGGATATCAACCACCTTGCCGTATCCTACTGAATGTGATGCACGATGTACGACACAGTCCACTATAATCTCGAGTGACATGTAGCAGCAAAGGACACATGCAAGGTGATGCGCAGATGTTTCTGATGAGCAGTTTTATGCACGCAGGCATCGTTTTTCAGCTCCGATCCCTCCGAATACACCATCCCTCCATGTTCCCCTTACGCATGCTGCGTCTTGCGTATATCTTTAAAATCTTCGCCGTCCTGCTGACCGATCCTGCTGCTTGGGCCATGCGTGCATCGACCTGCACACGTCGGATCCAGGCCTGTGGCACTCCTGGCGCAATGATATCGAGTACAACGACTACTCGACAGCCATGGGCCGCGGAGACGCCTGCCCCAACACCGCGGAGATCGCCTACATGGGCTGGGCAACACCAGCTGAGGGTGGCGAGCGGCTTGACAGTAGCATGCTCGCACCTGGCAAAACCCTGTCCTTCACCATGCCGGCCACCTACCTCACTGGCAGCAACAACCACCTACGCGTACTGCCCGACTGGTTGCTGAGTACCTACAGCGACGCTTCCCGCGGCAAAAACCTCTATGTCGCTGTTCGTGTGGCCAAGAATGCGGACGCCGCTCTGGGGCCGGAATTTTCATCCAAGATCAGCATACACGAAGTGAATGCGGCTATAGTGAGTACATGATAATCGTAACGATGATGATAGCCAAAACGACAACTGCACATGCGCCAGACGGGCCCTGCTGCAGCGGTGTCTGGAGGCGGTGCACAGGAAGTAAGTGGGGCAGGTAGCCAGGCGGGCATTCCTACCTGTACGCCCCTATAGCCCCTCGCCACCGGGGGCTAGAACGAGCAATCACTGCTGTAAGCGTATACCTGCTGGGTGCGCGTCACTTAAGGCGCGGAGGTCTCACGGCATCGCCTAGTTAGCCTAAATCAGGAGAAGCCGGAGGTGCTGCATGCAATGCCATGACGTAATCTGCTGCTGCCGCCCTCCTGCTGCTGCTGGCTCCCTCGCAGGACAATGCTCCAGAAGGCTTTGTATCCAAGGACCCCCGGATTCAGTTCATAAATTCGACTGGGCCCATGTCCCGGCTAGCACTTGATGCCTACCGGCTGGTTGTGTACGGCGGATCCTGGGTCGGTACGGATATCCTCCGGGTGCACATCTGCCGCTTCTTATCATTGCCCTCCGAGTGCCCCCCACTCAATCGCCTCGAACCGGGGCCTCCCAGTTCCCCGTTGTCACAGCCAACACCTCCTCCGCAATCACAGCAGGGTTCACCGACCCCATCACCTCACACCGCTCAACCGTTTGCGTCTTCGCCGCCGGCGTCACCCGGTGCTCCGATGGGGCCGAACCCACCCAAGGAAATTGCTCCAGTCCCACCGCGAAGGCCCCCCGTCTCGTCTCTATCCCCACCACCGCTCAGACCGCTGCAGCCGCCATTCCCACCTCCATCCAGTAGTCCAGGATTTCCACTACCACCCAGCTCACCGCCTCCATCCCCGTTGCCACCCAGCCCCCTGCCTCCATCGGCATCACCCAGCCCACCACCACGTCCAACCCAACCGCCAAGTCCATGGCCGTCCAGTCCATGGTCGCCGCAACGACGACCCAACCCACCACCTCCATACCTGTTACCGCCCAGCCCAATGCCGCCGTCGCCAGCACCACCCGTTCCACCGCCACCTTCGCGCCTGACGTTCCCTTCTCCACGGCCATCGTCCCCACCTCCTCCCAGCCCACAATCTTCATCTCCAATCTCGCCACCACCTCGTCCACCGCCATCTTCACCGCGGCCGCCCAGCCCACTGCGTACAAGGCCACCACCGTCGAGTCCACCTAGTTTTCCCCCAACCCCCCAATTTGCAACTGGTGAGTGTAAGCCCCATCTAAGTAGTAGCCTAGCATGCGTAGCGACTGAGTCATCATCATCAAGTTCTGTCACAGTTTGTGGTCCATTACTGCTCATCGTCCCCTGATTGCCTCCCTGATTGTCTAAGCTAGCCGCCATACGCATTATCCATACCGGTACACCAGAAGCAAGTAGTGTCGTGTAGTCTTTATGCGGGTGTGCCTCTTTTAGCTCGCATTCATGTGCGCTGCTTCATTAGCGGTAGTGGGCCACTACTTCCGCCATATGTAGATGATGGGTTGCATGTAGGGTTATGGCGGCTTGCATGGGAGGCTCGCACCCTAGGGCGGGAGGATGCGGTCTCATTCATCCAATTGCGCACTCACTCATGAGCTGCGATGGTGGCATTTGCCCATCTCTCTTCCTTGCTCCGGGTATTGCAAGCGCCTGAAGTTTGATCGTCGTGTTTAGATCGCCATCACACATGCATGAGTCCTGCAGGACTCCGCGCGTACACACACGGTGGGGGGGTCGCCTCAATGTGCGCTCTTCAGGTTCGCCATCCCCATACTGGTTGCCGGTATGCGGTAACCTGGTGCTGGGTTGTGAAGAGCGTGTGCCGACATGCGTGGTGCGTGCTCCCACCACACTGTGATGCATCACGTGGCACATCTCGCCCTGCCTGGGTCGTCGCAGCACCTCCTTGAAATGTAGCAAACACTCCTGAAGATGTCTGGGATAGCTGCCGCTCCGCAGAACGTAGTGTTATGTATGTAATTGCGGTGTTTTCCTTTCCTCCGTGGCTTTTAGGCGTTGTAGTATTGCCCTTGGGCCTTCGGCTCGTATGGGTAGTTTTACAGGCATGGGGCCACGCACCCCCAACTATGTAACACACAAACACACATGTATGTAATTGCATGTCGCACAGCAGTCGCGTCGTTCGTACATGTGTGCACATGTGCATATCCGTACACGGGTGTACACGGGCATTTACAGTCGCACACGCACACATGCGTGTGTACGTATATGCATGTGATATGGGCGTTAAAACTCTTCTCCTTCCTATCTACGTGCTGCCACTTGAGTACGTTGCTGGTTGTACTAACCTTATTTCAGTTGGCGGCCATGTGTAAGTAGGCCTGTACGGCGCTGAAACTCGCTTATGTTCCGATAAATCTAGAAGAACAATTACCTGGACAAACAGGGCCGCCGGCGAATAAGTCGCTCGTTCCAAGCGAATTACGGCTCTTGTGCAAGTGACACATACACATATTGCCGGGTGTTGTATAATGTATGTTGTTACAGGGTGGTATAGCTTCACCAGCGGCCACCATTCCCGAGGCAGTTCCCTGCTCTCCCCTGCGAGGGGGGCACCCGAATCCATTCACCCCATCCGACTTCGTATAACGTATGCCTGCCTGTGTGCTGTTCTCGGATGCCGCATGCGGATGCGCCGCATCTACTTGCAGTCGATTCTTTTGCTTGCTATGGACAAACGGAAATAGCCGGCAACAACTTGCGCTCAGTGGCGACGGAAAACATGGATGAATGCCAGCAGGAGTGCTTCATGGACCCCAGGTGTGTTCATCTACCATGTATGTATACTATATAGCTTCACCAGCGGCCCCCTTTCCCGAGGCAGTTCCCTGCTCTCCCCTGTGAGAGGGGCACCCTAATCCGTTCACCCCATCCGACTTCAGAATGTATTCGTTGGGTTCAGCAACTCACCACCAGCATCCAGCCAACTCTAGCGAATCAACGGCGCCTCAACTTAGCTTCTGGTCAGCTCGCAAGTTGATATTATCACGTCCTACACCGTCCATTAGATGGGGAGCCACCTCCCATTTCAAGACTCCTCAAACACCAGGGAATCGGCAGGCGCAATTGAACCCGGACACTTCTGGGGCAGAAGTCAAGCCTTAACCTCTGCCAGCCGCCTGCCAGCCTGCCAGCCTGCCAGCCTGCCAGCCTGCCAGCCTGCCAGCCTGCCAGCCTGCCAGCCTGCCAGCCTGCCAGCCTGCCAGCCTGCCAGCCTGCCAGCCTGCCAGCCTGCCAGCCTGCCAGCCTGCCAGCCTGCCAGCCTGCCAGCCTGCCAGCCTGCCAGCCTGCCAGCCTGCCAGCCTGCCAGCCTGCCAGCCTGCCAGCCTGCCGCCTACCATGTATGCATGCACCGAGCGACGACCTAGGCAGTACATGGATTGTAGCACCTTGATCACTTTCGTCGCTCTGTCCACCCTCATCTACCAATTACACCAGCACCACCACGTCGACTTGCTTTCGCTTGGTTGGGCTCCTGCGGCGGCAGGTGCTATTTTTCCGTGCGCAATAACAAGGGGATCTGTTTCCTGCGGAACGCGCCGTTTGTTGGGTCCGACGGTGTGAACGGCTATAACGATACCATCGACCGGACGTGCTGGGTGCGCGCTAATGACAATTCCGGTGAGTGTGTGCTATGCGCTTCGTTGAGGCCGGTCTTTGTTGGCAGCAGCAGCCGCACGTCTGCAAGCAACTGCAGCAGGATAATGCACATGCATGCCATCATCAACGATGGCTTTACACCTGGGCAATCTTTCTTAGAGAGAAAAATTAAAAGCAGTTTAGTTTTACAGCGGGGGTCTTTCGGGGTGCGTGCGCTTCTAATAACTGTGTGTATGCACGTCGGTACGTGTGCATGGACCATTGATAACCGCTGCCCGACAACCTACCTCATTACATATTTCATTTCGCATAAAGTCACAGAGTTGCCGCATATTGCATATTGCACGTGTAGCATACCACATGCCGCATCATACCCATGTCACGCCGCATGCATGCATGGCGAGACGAAGGTGAAACTTGCAGCGGAGGCTCAACTGCTGGCAGCAGATAGAGTCATCGCTCGCACGCTCGGTGATGATCTATCTATTATCAAGCAAAATATTGAGCCTTGGTCCCAATTACTTTGTACTTGGCCCAAGCCATCGGGCTATACATTGGGCCGCCCTTGTTTTCCGGTAAGGTTATAATACACTGTTCATTCGAAACCCTAGCCGCCAAGCCAAGTGTCAAGTAAGCTCCAAGAACTTAGAATCCAGCAGACCGATTGCGACCAGCCTGACCTGCTGTGATGGCACAAAACTAGCAACCGTCCTTTTTCCAAAGAACCGCATTTACTGGGCATGATTATTAGCACGTACGTGGTATCATCAACCAAACAATCCGGATGGCGCTCAGGCAAATAAATGACCTAATGACCCATAACCGAACCCGGTATATGTTATTTTCTAATTGTTGAAGGAGCGGTGCCTGGCTGCTGATCCAATCCATCTGCTGCTTGCACGCCTTGAGAGACTCCATCCCTGCGACACCCCGGGCGGGAGCTACGGACCAGTAGCTGCATGCATACATTCTGTCAAAGCTAGTTTGCTGCAAAGTTGAATTTCAGCCGTGCTCCCGCCGCCGTCCGCCGGCCATCCACTCCATCCCCTATGACACATCTGGGCGCGAACTCGCCTTCGCTTAACACCAGCCCGGCCGCTTAACCCGCCCTGTTCGCCACGCAGGGCGATACTACTGCATCAATAATTGGTCCATTAACGGGGAAACCGTAGATCTCTACAACAGCAACAACTGCAAAGCTACTCACACGGGCTTCAGCTTGAGTGCTTGCAAGGAAACCTGCGACGGGCATCCATTTTGCTATTTCTTCGTGTTTAGTAAGAACGGGGAGTGCGCTCTCAGGTACTACCCCATGCGCGGAGTTTGCGGAACCACACAAGTTCGGTCAGGTGTCCAGGCGACTTGCTTCCTGCTCCGTCTACCGGAGTATTACAGGCGATGATGGACCGACCCTCCATGTTGAGCAACCCCATTTATGTCTGATAGCTGAGCCGCGGAACGGCTCCTCAAGACGCCGGAAATGTGCTTTAGCGCACATGTAATGCTGCAGCTGATGTGTGTGCGGTTCTATCTGTACCACAGCTAATTTTACACTAGGTCTTACTAAGAGTTATCAAGGGGCGGCTGTAGTGGGCGACGCTTACGTCAGTTGCAATCGATGAAGATATGTAGCGGCGGCAAAACGCGGATTCATATACGGTAGTTGCTAAAAAAATAGTGTGCAGAGCTAGGTACATGTGGTCCGCTATCCTGAAGTAAGCTAGCTAACTAGCAGAGAGACAGCAAGCCAACAGCAGTCGTACATCACTCTTTCACTGTCCTGGGCCCTCGTTTATTTCCTTGATTGTCTTTTTTCCTAAGTGATTTGCGTGCGCGTATTTATGCATATACCCTTACTTGGATGTTCTTGTTACCTGGCTTTGCGGCTGTACATGTAGATAGCAGGGGAGGTAGCTGGGGAGGTAGAGACACGTTATTTGTACGTGCGTGGCATAGGGTGGCAGGCACACATAATGCATACATACATACATACATAAGAGGGTTTGGCACCACTGGTAAGGCGCGACCATTGCCCCCGGGAGATCCCGGGATCGATACCCGTTAGGGTCAAAGTCCTTCCGATGGTGGAAGGCATTGCGCCCCTAGTTGATGGACGGTGGTGACCTGGGATAAAGTTAACCTGCGAGCCGACCAGGAACGGAGTTGGGCCGCTGTCGACCCGGCAGATTCCGTTGGATGCTGGTGGTGGGTGCGGAACCTGAGCGATCCACTGAGAAGTTGACTAGGGTGACTGGATGAGGGTGCCCCGAAATACCGGGGAAGGCAGGGTTTCGCAGGGTAGCTGCCACGGGCGAAGATACACCCCCCTGTTTCACACATCATACAGACAGACAGACGCAGTAAAATTACAAGTTCTGCACGAATGTGAGGGTGTCCACCAAAGCCCGGGGCCACGGGCTATACATATTGAAACTTACTTGCTCCGTACGAACTTAGAGTCGAAGGCGGTTTGGGTCCACCCATCTAGACCCCTCCTCATCCAGTCACCTGAGTCCGCGGAGACAGATCAGATCAGCAATCGCCACCACATCAGTATGTGAAACTAGTAGTCCATCAACTAGACCTCAACCTCATTCTCCCGATCAGTGTCGGGGATATGCCCAGGAATTAAAACCAGGATATTAATCAGCGAAATGCAATGGCCCACTAGTGGCACGCCTGCAGGCTGGCAATGGATCCCGGAACCTT